TAGAGGTCCCTTCCAACCTTGAATATTCTGTGATTCTGTGATTCTGTAATAGAGATTTTATTTGTTGATTGAAGGAGTAGAAGCAACTACTTCTAATAGTGATAAATGTCTAACACAAAATAGTCTTTGCCTGAAGAACCTGTGTGTTTCGTTGTTTTTAATGCAAACATTCTGTTTCACAGCACAGCTGCTGCCCCAATCTCTTTGCACAGAGTGTTTTTGTAGAGACTCACAACAGAAGTTTCCCATGGGTGGCATTCTTCACAAACAGGTGAGTTTTAAAATTTTTCGATATTGTTTATTCAAGGCACTAGGGGGAAAAATGTACTCCTTAACTACTAGGAAAATTTATGCAAAGTAGGCAGATGTTTAAATCATGAAACCATAAAAAACTATTTTCTTGTTAGTGACTTCTTATTGTGCCCTTGGAGACTCAAGGAATACAGCAAGTCATCATTATTGCTAATGAGTTTTCCTCAGTTTTGCACTGAAATGCAGTTTCCTCTGGAAGCTTATGATGTCAGTCTTATCTCTGTGGATTACACGAAGGGAAATAGAGACCTCCTGGAAAATTAGAGACAAATGGACTCCAGGAAACACTGATGRTCTGGAGAGCCTGGAAAGCCTAGGCCCAGCCCTCAGTCCCACACTAACCCAAGTGCACTGGGATTGGCCTGTAAGGAGCAGTTCAGGGGCCTCTGAAGACAGTGTTTTGAACTATGTCAGAAAGAGATTTTGTTTTGGCTGGAATTTCTTCATTGACAAAGAAACATATGGTGAGGCCTGAGGCTGTTGAAGAGACAGAAAAAAAAAGGCCTACGGAAGAGACTGAAGAAGAAAAGATTTTACTCAAGGGAGTGCTCCTCTGGCTTGGCCTCTTGCTTTCTAGCAATCAACTGTTCAGAAGTTTTCTGCCTTAAGGACTGCATCTGGATCCTCAAGCTTAGTGCTGCATCTTCTATGAACTTACCTGGTCCCTTTTCATCTCCTTGACCCCTTTGTCCTCCAGAACATCCTGAGGCATCAAGTCCCGAATTGCAGTTCTGTGCTGCTGGCAGTCTTCTTTTTGTTTGTTCTCAAGCCTGCTGCCTGGTAATTTACTGAATATCCTTTGTGTTTATCCTGTGAAAAATACCAGATAATGGCTTCCTTCTTTGTAATATTCATATTTTTTTGTATCTTCCCYCAGTTGTCTGGGTCTGAAATTGATGCATCCTAATAGCAAGTATTTAATTCGGTGCTCGTTTCAGACAGAGTATCTCCTGCAGAAGAAATTGCTTTTCTTCCATTTTTGTCATAGTGGTTGGTCCATAGAAGGGATATGTGGAACACATGTTTACTTGGGCTTTGTGCACAGAAACAGTGAAATTCCGTTAAAATGAACCCTGTCATACCAGAGATGTGACCAGTGTATCTTCATCACCAGTGTATCTGTGGATCTGTTCGGACTTTGGTGATGACATAGTGAAAAGAAAGAAACTGGCTGTGTCCTGTGCCCCGTGCTCTGGGTGTCCCTSCTGGAGMAGGAGGTTGGACTAGATGATCTCTAGAGATCCCTTCCAATCTCAACCAGTCTGTGATTCTCATTCCTGTGTGTTCTCTGCTCTGTGTTCATTTTCTGAGCACRTGCGTGTTCCCCAGAATTTACCTGGAAGTTAGAACAGCTTGTTCAGACTGACTGTATGGCACTGCTGGGTAAAATTACTCTCATTTACACACCCTGTAGCCTCGGTAGGCAGAGCAGCACCCGTGTGCTGGGACTCCCTGTGTGACCTGCACCCATGTGCAGGGCTCTCCCCTGCAAGCTGCCCACACAGCCTCCTGGTGCCTCCTAATTTGGGGTCTGCAYGCAAGACATCGCGGGCAAATCGTGAGCACGCTGTTCTGTTTGTTCAAGCARATGACCAAGTGTTTTCTTTCTCAGGCATGTGAAAGCTGGCACGGAGCTCACGTGGGATTAYGGTTACGAAGCTGGGAGCTTGCCGGAGATGGAGGTTTCGTGTCAGTGTGGATTTCAGAAGTGCAGGAAGAAAACCCTGTAACAGCGTTTTCCTGTTGTCAGCRCTTTGTGTGCCTGGAGATTCACGTGCTGGAAGGGACTATGCCGTGAACAGTGCACTTAAACAAAACGGTGGTGCTAACTACATCCAATAAAATGTCTCTCATGATCTTTTTTTAAAATACCATTTAAATCTCATTTTTATAGTTGGCAGATTCTGAGCTGTTTGTCATAAGAATAAGCATAAAATGTTTTTTCCTAAATCATGTCCATGCTCCTCCTCTTTTTTTTATCCACGTCCTTTTTCATTCACGAGACGAGTCCCTGATACGTTGGAAGAACTCATTCTCCTGTACAGTCTGCAACCAAAACAAGAGCGGTGCAAGGATGTTATTGGGGGCCTTCCAGAAGGCTCAGTTAGGAATACTCAAGATTTCTGAAACTCATATGAATGTAAGTCGCTCTGCTCAGAGCTTGCTAGAAGGTAAGGAGTGATCTAAATATATCTAAGCTGATAGACAGAGTGAGCCAGAAAGCTTTGAATAGTGCTGAGATGGATCAGAACAGTTTCACAGAGCTGGGGTTGTGCTGCAGAGCGAGCTGGGAAATTCCTGCTCCTCCAGGACAGAAGTGACATGGGCTGCTTGCATGTGTCTGTGTTGGCGGCACAGAAGTCTTTGAGAAATCCACTGCACCTCATTTCAGTGTCACGATGTGTAACTCCCTGCATTTCAAAAGCTTTTTCAGTGTTGATTTCTGGTGTTTGGTGTTGATACKGTGAAAGGTCCTATAGGTAAGATTGTGCAGAAGCCCCAGGTGATGTTTGCTCAGCCACTATGAGGTTTTGCCATTGTGCTTCCTGTCTTACAGAGCAGAGAAAACAGTTTGCAAAATGCAGTGCCCATTTGGGCAGTTGCGTATGGGAATGAAATAGGCTCAAGACTGCTGTAGCTGTAGCTCTGGAATACAGATTCCAAGGCTACATCTGTACCAAAAAACAAAAGCAAAGCAGGAACCAGTTTCCCACAAATCAAGCACACGCTCCTGACCTTCCAAACTGCAGTTACACACTCAGTAACCATCCCAAGCACATCCCTCTTACCTCAAGTGGTTAGTAATTTACACAAAATTAAAGTTTCCTTGCTCCTCGTGCCGACTGTGCATGCTCAGGGGAAGGGTCTTCATATGTCCAAGAGACCTATAGGCATAATTTTAATATTATAACGATGGCAGTTCTCTTAAGGATACATAGAMCTTGAGTTTTCTTGCCAAGCTTGCAAAGTGTTTTTTTTTTTTTAAAGTCAGATTTTAATGAGCAGCTCCAAGTTGTCCTCAATTAAGGAGTGTTAACTGGCTGCTCTATCTGCTCTGCTGATGTTTCCTCACGTCCTACCGAGATTCTGGGGATACCTGTTTTGCTTCCTTCTAAACAAGGTGAATTATCCTAATCCTGCGTCAGTACCTGTGGCCAAAAGAAGCTGGGCAATTTGAGATTTGGGTTTTGTTTGGTTGGTTTGGATGCTTCGAAAGAAAAAAATACAGGATTGTGCTGCAATGTCAAGAGTGGTGATTTTTACTGGTGTTCTTTGTGACTGGGATTTGAAGTGCAGGCTGGTAATCCAGTGGTCTGGCAAGAGAAACACATCCATGGTGTGTGTCCCCAAATCCGGACAGTTCTCCTGCCAGGCAACTGCACTAATGTGTCCATCGAGGCTGCTCCATCCTTGTCTGCCCCCTTCCCTTCATGCGCACTGGAGGCCACGTGCCTCTGTGGTGCTGGCCTCCCCTCGTGCRAGAGAGAGACCTCCCTTCCCTAGCTGGATAGTTTGGAGGCGGAACGGGGTGGGGATCCTTAAAATCCTGCCTAGCTTTTGCTGTCACTGTGCTAGTCCGGCATCAAAACACTTTCCAAGGGCTCTGYTGACCCCACGTGTCCCGCTGCATCCTCGAGGAATTTGTTCTGGTTAAGTGACRCATTTAACAGTGCGGGTAGGGAGGTGACCTAGGGTGACCCAGGACACTTCCTCAGGAAAAATCCCTTTGGACATGCTTGTCTGGGCCGTTTGGGAGCTCTTACTCCAACGTGGGTCACGTACCACGGCCCTGGCGGGATACGGATGGGTCGCGTCCCATCCTGTTCCGTTCCTGCCAGGATCAGGGATCGAACCCCGGCCTCCCATGCCGGGGTCCCGCTTAAGTTCAGGCCACGCAGCGGGAAGGGTGACAGCCAATCAGCGGCGGCGGCGCGTCAGCGAAGCCCCGCCCCTGCCCCGCAGCCTCTCGCCGCCGGCGCCAGTGAGGGCAGCGGGCGGTGGTCATGAGGGCTTCAGCAGGCATGACTGCGCATGCTCCGTGCGGAGTGAGACGCCCACTTCCGCGGCTCCCCCTCCCCGCGCGCGGAAGTGGGCGCTCGTGCGGACCGGGCAGCGGCGGCGGGGAGCGGAGGAGCCCCTGCCCTGCGGTAAG